AAAAGCCTGGAGGTGGCACTGAGTGCCATGGTCTGGTTGGCATGGTGGTGTTGGGGGAAAGGTTGGACTCGATGATCCCAGAGGGCTCTTCCAACCAAACTGATTCTGTGAAAAGCCCTGTATGCACGTGTTCCTTTCTAGGGAGGGCAGGATTTGCACCATGGCTTTCTGGAAGCTTCCTCGTGTCCAGCAAGACTTTGTGCCCAGGGCTGGGACGGGGGGCTGCCAGCAGAAGCAGTGCACTGGGGCTCTGTGCTCTGCATGGGCTGCAGTGCAGACGAGAGAAGGGAAAGGGGATGGATTTTGGAGAGATAAGCACCTCTGGCCTCTCCCACACACACCATGGGGTGATCACGCACTGCCAGACCATGTCGCACAGCCTGACAGGCTCGCTTCCCTCTGTCAAGAGCTGCCACAGCTAGGATCAGTGCATGTCAGCAGCTCCTGGGCTACAGACACTGCTGGTAACGTCTCGCTCCCGGCTCCAGTGCTAGAGTCCCGGTCTTGCCCTAGAGAGGAGGGAGGCAGGGGTGGAAGGTTCGCACCCCGTTGCTGCTGCGGACACACTCTGCAATTACATTGCTGTGCACGCCAAGGGCTTCAGGAAAGGGGCTTTCAGCACAGCCAAGACCTGCGGGCATTCACCTACCTGCCCCTTTGCCGGCAGTGCCCAAACCACAAACCACAGTTATTTCCCAGCCAGCCCAGCTATGGAACCAGGAGGCAGCGAGGGCGTGAGGCAGGGGCTCAGCAGGCGGCTGTGCCCTGGATGGCTCTAGGCTGTTGTCGGAGGGGCGTGAGGAGCAGTGGGGTTCCCTCACCTGTACTTGAGGGGGAACATAAGTGCAAGGAGAGCCCGGCAGGCGTCGGTCAGCCTCTGGTAACTGCTGGAGAGAAACAGGATCTTGTGCTCAGTAAGGGCTGCACAGAAGAGATACAGCACATTGGTGATGCCTGGGGAGAAAGGGAGAGAAGACCACTCAGAAACGAGGGTTCCCCCCTCGCACCCCACCGCTAATCCCCACCCACGCTGGATCTCACTCCCCATCTCCACATTCTACACAACAGAGGAGCTCAACGTCCCCCCAAAGAGCCACTTCTGGATCACCCAGGTATACGCTCCCCCAAGGAAGCCCCTCTTCTGAGAAATGCTCAGCAGCCCTCCTGAGCTGGCAGTGCCCCTTAACCAGAGGTGCAGGGCTAATGGCAGCACACCTCCGGGCACTCCCTCCTGCCACCCTGGCTGCTCCTCACGAGGTCCGGCCACACGTCTGCACCCGAGCTGCCAGCCTCTGGGGAAAGGGGAGGCAAAGTGAGGCCAGGGAGGGCTCAGGCTGAGGTGGCTGCAGATGGAAGAGAGCCCTGAGCTGCCAAGCCAGGCTCAGGAGCATGGTGGGAAGCGACGTGCAGGGAACTCCAGCCCAGGACTCGGCCAGCTGGCTTTGGCACCGGACTCGATGAGAAGGAGGCGTGGGGAGAAGTCTCACCGAGCTGGCGGAAGAGCAGGGCCACGCTGCAGCTGCTGACGGGAAGCGAGTCATTGATGGGTGTCTGGATCACCTGCCTGTCCCCTGCTCCCAGAGAGATCGTCCTCTGCAAGAGAAAACAGACCCGGTCACCGGACGTCCGCCCAAGCAAGAGGCAAGCACAAGCATCGAGGGCAAGCCAGGTGCCTGCTGCCTCGCCAAGCCAGCCACAGCCCAAATCCCCCCGCTGCACCGGCCAGGGCGACCGTGCCCTCAGCACAACCCCCCGTACCCAACGGGGCAGCGTGTCCTACCACGGCACACTGCCTCACGGCAGCGCGGCCGGAGCAAGGCTGCTGCAGGAAGAGGGAAGAGCATCCTGCAACAACACACGTCGCCCGCTTGACCAGGGCCACGGGGAGGAACGAGACCTGCTCACCCAGCCGGACGTTTTATCTCCTCGACGGCTGGCGGAAGGCGGCAGCAAGCCCCGAGACCCTACACACTGCGACGTAGCACACGAGGGCTCTCCGGGGCCTCGCAACCAGAGGGGAACAGCTCGCCTGTGCCATAGCCAGCAGCACTGCCAGGCAAAGGAGCAGCACCAGCTCCGCAGCCTCTCCTGTTGGACAGGGTGCCTTGCCCAGGCAGCGTCAGCCGGCCCTGACGGCTCCTGGTGGAAGGGCTGGGGAAGGACAGACTGCACACAATCTCATTGCCTCTTCTCCAGGACAGTTTTTTTCCCAGATCGCAGCTCATT